TAGGAGTTGAACACAGTGGGACTGACAAGGAGTTCCTTGATCTGCAAAGGTGGCACATGCCACGAGCTCACAGGCAGTTTCTTCTCTGGTTTGAGAGCTTACCATCACTTCGTGAATATGTCATTAAACACAAGACTAATCTTGAACTTGTCTCATCTTACAATGAGTGTGTGAATGAACTGACAAAGTTCAGGACAAGTCATATAGTACTAGTGACACGATTCATTGTCAATCCATCGAAACTGGTCCACAGTGAGAGTAAGGGAGAAGGGAGTCTAGCAACAAGAGGTACTGGTGGCTCTGATTTTATGTTATTTTTGAAAAATGTGCGCGATAATACTCAGAATTGTGTCATACCACTTTAATGAAGTTATTATTTATTGTTAAGACCTTTCATTCTATGTGTAATATTCAATGTGTAATAATTTAAGAAGTTATCATTATAAAGAGTGCATGTACATGTACATATACACTGGAATATGTGTAATTAGATTCAAGGTGTGCTAAACACAAGCTTTATTAGAATCAAAAGTTTCCGTTTATATGTGAAAACAGAGTAGTGTAAACATATCCTCAGATATAGTATTCTCACACCTGGATGTGTTCCCACTGTCATTTACACCTTTTGTAAAAATGAGGTCCACCTAATTGCAAACGTACCATTTTGCCAGTGGCAATTCTTCCCATGAGAAACACAATAGTGAGACAATTTTATGTATAACATACCAAAACTTTGTCACAAACCTCTGGCTACAATAATAATAATAATAATAATAATTAAAAATTACCTAAAACCAGCAAACATGAAAAGCATTATACAACAAAAAGAAGTGAAATGTTCTGATAATAATAAGAACAATTCTAAATAAAGCACTACCCACTCTACAATTAAAAGACGAAACTGGAAAATACAGAAAGTCATTATGTCTTCACAGCCACACCCAGCTTTTCCAAAACTTTTTTGCCTTTCTCTTGATATTCTTCCCTTGACATCCAGAATGTGTCTTTATCTTTCATTATGTCAGCCAAAACAGCTCCACCTAAGAACACCATGTGCTTACGTCTGGGAGGGTCCTCAATACGGATTTTAAATTTCTACAAATTAGAAATATTATAGTATAAGTACACATAAATATAATAATAATACAATACAAGTACATTATAATTATTAATAAATAGAAGGCAACACACACTAAATTACTGACACATTAACTAACCAAACTACAAATTACATACATGTACAAGTAGAAACTGATTACAATGAAGGCAGTGAAGCATATAAGAAACTTCTCCCATCCACTAGCTAAGAGTTACATGTAGCATTAATCAAAGATAGCCAAAAGGTCTCTCCTTTGCATTCTCCAATCTCCAGCAGCTAGGCACTCTTCACTGTTTTGTGTCAAAAACTTCTTAATTCACACCACATGAAGAAAACAATAATTGTGCTGATTTAACATCATTAATTAATACATTAGCGCACACCACAAGTACTAAAGAGATCTATACTAAAAATCTATCATAAACAATGCTCAGCTATCACTGATAGTCACTTGATATGATTATTATGAATAACTCACATTACACATTAAGCACAAACTTTAAATAATAAAAAGCACAGTTGGGGGCATTCAGTCGTCAAAGACACCATTTTAAAACTTACAGAAAGTTTTGAAGTGTCTCCTTTCAAAACTCGAGCCAGATAAAGCTGCTTGATTTCCCTTTCCAATCGAGATGGGAGGCCAGGGTACATAGTAGAACCACCGCTAAGAACGATGTGCTTATAAAAATCAGCCCTAGTATCAATATCTGCTGCTTGTATTGTGTTAAAAAGAAGCTCGGCAACACCAACCCCTTCAATGTTGATAAGATGAGGTTGGAACAAAACCTCTGGAGCTTCGAATCTCTCACCACCTAATTTAACAACACGACCATCAGGCAGCTGAAAGAGAGGAGAGAAAAAGAAAAACAAGATTATGCATGATTGCATGTTGCAATAGAGGAGAGAAAAAAAAATACCACATACTGTGTAGCTTTCAACAAGAACAGTTGTCTCTGTGGCTAATTTCTGCTCTTGTTCAACATTATAACTAAAAATACACACAATGTACACTTGATGATAATAATGATAACTAAGGATACACTTACCCAACGTAACAGAGCTTCTCTTTCATCATACGTATTGTCTCAAAGTCTGCAGAGTGATTAAAAGCATAGCCACGTAGAAGGAGGAGCTTAATAAGATAGCGAGTGATGTCCCTCCCGGCCACGTCAAGTCGACGGGTCAAATGAGGCAAAGCGAACCCGTCATATACTGGGCATATGTGAGTGACACCATCTCCACTGTCAATGACAATACCAGTCAATAAACCTGCAAAGAGGCCATACTCTCAAACATCAATTTACAAATGATTAGCTTTCAGAATGAACCACACCCACTACAACCATAAAAGGACATACACATTACCTTGAGCATACAGAGTCAATACTGCTTGGATGGCAATATAAACGCCAGCAAAATTATACTCCTCAAACATAACCTCAATCATCTTCTCTCTGTTCTTGGTTGGGTTCATTGGGGGCTCAGTTAATAAGACCTGCCATCAAATAATAACACATAAATTACATGTACATGTACATATTGTGAATATATGATTGATACACATACCTTACAGTCCTTGGTATCTACTTTAAGCTTCTCGTGAAAGGTGTAATTCCAAACGTGCTTCATGTCGTCCCAATTCCTGACTATCCCATTCTCCATTGGGTAATTCACCTCCAGCATTGATCGTAACTGACTTGCTTCATCTCCTACCATTAAATCCTGCCACACAATAAGACTAAATACAATATATTCATTTTGGTATCATACCTTGACTTCTATATTTCCCACTTTAGCTGTAGAGCGGATGATTGGTTTACCAACCAGGGACGGGAATATGTGGGAAGGGAAGTTACTGCCGGCATAGCCACACTTGACAAACTGTAACGGGGCAATCATCAGTACGCATACATTCACTTATAGTTTATCTTACCCCAGTACCATTGTCACACACAATGACTTTGTGACCAGCAGCGTCAACCATCTTGAAGAGAAAAACAAGTACAAGAACTGTCAAGAAGTCCTAAACACTTTACTCTCCCTAAAAGGCACAACCTTCTTATGGGTTGGTGGTCCTACTGCGCATGCGCAGAACTTATGAATATCATTAGACACGTGGTAACAATGGAGGTAAAGAGTAGAGGGATTGAATGTGAACTGGGTATCATTACTAGAGCTGATGGATCTGCTCAAGTAAAGCAAGGGAACACAATTGGTGAGGGACTTATTTTATGTAGTATTTTGATTTTCTTTAGTGACGTGCGGTGTGTACGGCCCTGTCGAAGCGAAATCAGCTCGAGAGAAGGTAGACAAAGCTGTTGTCGAAGTGATTGTAAAAAGTGAAACTGGTCTGCCCGGCCCATATGAAAAGGAACTGGAATTATTGATGTCCTCTTGCTGTGAGACAATGATACTCACTCATTTACACCCTCATACTGCCATTAGTGTCAGCATTCAGATACAGAGTGACAATGGCTCTGTAAGTAATCAATAATTTGTCAAATTGCATTTGATCGATAATAATACAAAAAACCATATGTTATTCTTTTCTAGGTTATTGTTTGTATGGTTCATGCTTTATGCTGCTCGCTTCTTGACGCTTGTCTTCCACTGAAGACTACATTCTCTGCTATTAAATGTGCTTTTCTTTCTGATGGTAGCATGTTAACTGATCCCACTACACAACAGGAAGAGACTGCAACTTCACAGCTAACATACATCATTGATAGGAAAGGGAAACTGGTGGCATCACATGCAACAGGATCATTTGATACAGAAGAGGTATGATTTTGTTAGTCTTAATTTTCAAAATGGGCGAGAGAGCAAATTTCTAATGACCCTAAACTTTTGAAGGAGGGTTTGTTGTTAGAACTGACTGTGTATAAATGAGATGAACAAAAATATGAGCGTATGATATACAATGAGAGCACATGATTTTACTCTTTTGGGCACTTATTGCTTCATGAATGATTTTTACTTAAGAAAACAGTACTATATTATCAGTTATATGTTGTGTCTTATTTTTACGTAGTACATAAAAGGTCTATCAGTAGCATCAAGTACTGCCGTTCATAGAACAGACTTCTATCGTGAAACTATTTCTCGTAAAATGTCTCGAATAAAACAATAATTAAAATCACGCATTATTATAAATTGGAAAATATTGATTGAAAATTATTCTCATTCAGTTGCAGGGTATTGCCTGATATTCCTGTCTTCTGCGATTAGATCTTGCTTTCCAAAAACATACAACAGCTGCCAATAGTACAATAAAAGCTACCACAACTATTAGAAATTATTATAAAGTGCTGTTTGAGATAAAAAATAAACTCACATAGAAAAGCATACCCTCCGTACATTACATCAGTAGCAACAGTGATCTGATGAAGTCCATTCTTCATTAGGTAACTTTTGAAATCATCAGTTAATTCAGCATGCTAATAACACAATGGAATTTATTTATTAAAAATTACCAATACCTCATTAATATACAGGACAGGATAATATATGGTCCCATTGATGTTCTTGAGTTCCCTGTTACATAAAAGCATGCTAAATAATGGTTAATATTTAGTGTCATATTACTTGAATTCATCTGTCCTATTGACTTGTACATTAAGTTGGAGTATTCTTTGAAATTGAATATTAATGCCAATAGTCTAAATAATAACAAAATAATAAACAATCAGTGTTAGTGTTCAACTATGTGACTTGGAAGTTAGAACATTAACTAAACAACTGTTTTAAAATGCCTCAAACTTTCTGAGGCACAAAGCTAAAACTACAGCTAATAATACCGGTATTGGAACAGTACATACTGATGACAATCTTAGGTATAAAACTATAATTACATTAATTTTACTTACAGGATGAACATTAATGAAAGTGTCATGCATCTCTCTATGAGGCACTAGCATTCCATCCACTTGATCTCTTGTCTGTTCAGGTTCACAATCCAAGAAGCGTGCTTTAGATCCAAACACAGGTACACTTGGTGTCTGTGTCATAATTACAATTACATCATCAAAAAATCACAATATGCATACTTGTATAACTCCAAGGTAAATGAGACCATCCGGACACCATGACCCCCAGCGAGCATTATCTTCATTCTTAAATGCACTATCAAATACTTCCATTGGAAGGGCATAACGAAAAGCAGGTAGTCCTTTAATATCAATAGACCCGTTATACTCAAGTGGAAAGGAACGCACAGTATCATCAACAAATGCAAAAAGTGAATCCCCTTCTTTAAGACCAGGACGAAACACAAGACCCTCAGTACCATTAATCTTATTAGCTGTATCTCCTGGCCATATTCCTAAGTTTGTCAGATTGTTCCATTGAATAAACTGACCCAGTTTACTGATATCATCATGACCAGTGTATATCTTGCTAGGAAGAGAATCGTCAGCTGAATTATTCTTCTGCAGAGATACATAATCAGTTGGAAGATTCAATCCTAATCTCCGAAGGTCATTACTAGAATGCAGCCATTGTATTAGTGGATCGGTATAGTTGAATACAAGCGCACTTGCCGGTTGACAGACATACAGTTTAGCTCCTCTAATTATTATCTCAGCTTTCAGTAACATTTTACCAAGGAAACGTAATGCTTTATTCTCTAATCCTAACACTTGAGTGATTGCTCCCTACAATAAAGAGTATAAGAGTCATACAAACTAGGAATAAACAGGAATTGGTACGTGTATTAGGATCACATGATCATGTATAAACAACTTTAAACTATCCACATGTGACTAATGTGTAAAATATAACGTCCCCAAATTTCAGCACAGCATGAATGAGATCCCAAAATAAAAATATTGATGTTGTGGGTTTGAACTGGTTTCAATTAATATTGGAGTTATATACATGTAGCACATACATTTACAGGATCAAGATTTCTCACAACGCATGCTTTGGAGCAGCTTTGAACAGAATCACTACAGCAGTTATAACAAGTTCATCCCACAGGATTTTGGCATGCATGTACATGTACTTATACTTATATTGTTTAGAAATTTTGAGCAGATTTCAATCAACTTGCCAAATGACCCTGTATATACATGTAGTACAAATGTACATTTGGCCGAATTTCATCAAAAATGGCTATAAAAAATCTCCTTTTCGGATACACATACATGCTCTTACGTTGTATATCAAGTTTCCATTTCACTTTAAGTCGTTGGCCAAATTTTGCCAAAAATGACTAAGAGACATTTTTATTATATATCTTCGTTTGTTGTGTAGAAAATTTGAACTAATTCCAATCAAAATTGGATTTTTATGAATTTAAAGCTTTCCAAATGTCATGTCAGCTCATGAAGCTCATGCTGTTTAGCTCACACTTTGTAGGAAACCCTGTGGTCAGACATGATAAATTGTTTATTGTGTTATAATAATAAAAATTAATTTATATCATTAAATTTTAAAAATTATGTTGTTCATACAAAATGGTGAATTCAGTCAGACAATAATTGAACGAAATGGTCAGAAAATCTCTGATGTCCCACTCAGGCTCTGCTTATCATGCTTAGAACTATGAACTGATTTCAATCAATATTCAAGCATGCTTTTTAGCTCACTTAGCATTATGGGAAACCCTACAATCCCATATAGTAACACACAACCACACAACCACACTGTACTATACTGGCAAAATAAAATCCATTACTGCCAAAGGTGTTTGGATATACACTGTATTACAATAATTCAATTTTAGGCATTTTATTATTGATTTTACAATTTACATTAGTCCATGTGTATTTGCTAAGTTTAGCAATTCAATAAAGTGAAACTGATGCTTACCACTAATGGTATGTTGATAGTACATATAGTATCAGTCTCTGACGTATTGTTCTGTGACGTAGAAGAAGAGAAGTGGAAGGTTTTTCTTTGAGTGTATTGAAGGACATTATCTCCATCGAGAAGATCTGATGTATTGAAATACTTGATCCTATACTCCCTGTGGAATAACAAAAAGGGAGATTATATCACTGTGTACAATGTATATACTATTATTCATTAAGTAGCTGTGAGGAAGCTACATGTAGTACAATTAAACCTCTCTAAGATGTGGACACCTGTGGGCCAGCCATTACTTAATTTGCACACATGTAGATGTGTTGGGGACAGTAAATCTCATCTGTTATACAAAACAGAGAGGTCCTACTAGACAGAGGTTCTTTTCTACACTACCTAATGCCGGGACAACAGCATCTGTACGTTATGGAGAGGTGTCACTTAATTGAGGGTTCATTTTGGTTTGAATATGAAACTGTAAAACTGACCCTTATACTAATCAACAAGTCAGTTGAAACTTGACTAGTTATAAAGCAGCAGCTGTGATGCATAAATATCAGCCACTCTAATTTAAAATAATATAAAAAGGAGTGCTGATACTAACCTGTAGCTGTAAGGTCCTACCTCGTTGACAATTGGTCTTGCTCCCTGGCTGAACTCCACAGGGTTAGTCAAGTTAAAAAAGTAGACATCTTTATAAACGGGTAGACTAGGATCCTTTAACTGCTCATAGGAGGAATGACCGGGTAGGATTGTCAGTTTCTATAATAATTTACACCAAGTGATGTCTGGAAAACAGAATAACAAGGCTCACTTCATTCACCATATGATCCAAAAGAGACGGAAATTCGATGATTAAAGCAATAGCAAGAGAAAGAAGTATGAGAGAGACTACTGTGCAACCTGATCCACAGACACAACAGCATATTCGACGACTTTTTAACATCTTCACCTTGACTAGTTGACTAGCTAGTAGCTAGCTAGCTACGTGTGATATGGGTGTGGCTTAGACACGCCTACTCACATCACAGATCGATTAGAGTTTACTTTTATACTTGTAGAGCAAAAGTCCTATACTCTACTACATGTACTATCTATGTATTTTATAATTATTTATAAAATGATCTACTTGATCAATGATAGTATAATAACTAGAAGAATGTAAAACATTAAGGGTATTATAGTCCAGACGACCTCCCATACTGTCATTGGGTGTCAAATAACCAACCCACCCAATTAAGAGTTTAGATGAAGTATAATATAATTATGATCTTGGCACCAACGACTTTACCATTTAAACCTGAGGTATTGTCTACATGAATAGTTGCTTCTGCTATAAGTCAGAAACCTGTCAGTTTTGCCCTAAGAATATCAAGTAAAGTACGTAAATTGTAAACCAAAAGTGGTTTATTATTTTATGAAATTATTTAGGTGTTAATCCACTTATGATTACACTGCTACACTTACTAGATATATCACTAGGTCTTCTATTAAGAGTGTTAGTCTCTTGAATTACTATTTTATATGATATGAGTGTATGATAATTAGAGACACTTTATATACCTTTGCTAAGTAGTCTCCGTCCTACTATTTGAAATTCAGTATTATTATTCTCATTGCCAAATGTACGGATCTTTCTTGCCAGCTCTGCTTTAGTTACCAAATGACCCTGACGTTTTTCTTTTGTCATCCAATTAGTGAGTATGCACATCACATTCAGCCAATTTGGGGAAACCCAATCCCTCACCCAATCCTCCTCTAAGCTATATTTTAAGAACTTCCTTGAGAATGAAATCAATGTCTCCTTGCTGCAAGTTTCAAGACCACTTGATATGAAGGAGATATCTTCAGGAGTAATGTCTATGAAGAAGTCAAAATTACAATTAAAATGAATCATGCTCTGTGTGTGTGTGTGTGTGTGTGTGTGTGTGTGTGTGTGTGTGTGTGTGTGTGTGTGTGTGTGTGTGTGTGTGTGTGTGTGTGTGTGATAGTACAAACCAGTTTTAAATTTGAATTCTTCCTGTATTGGAGCCTATAAGCAACAAAAAGATAAAAGTTTTGACAACATCATAAGAATAATTTAACCTGTTTCAGTGCTTCTGCCCAAATTTGAAGGTCTTCATTTTTCTGACATTTTTCACATAGGTCATTAGGCAGATCTAGCAGGTGATAATCATTTTTGCACTTAGTGGCAAAGGCATAAGCAAAGGTCCCATTATTTGCTGCTTTTTGTGCAAGTTGTTGAAAGGCTCGTAAGACTAAAATAACATAGTCCAAGCGTGAGCTGTGATTTGCTGCTTCAACTTTGACTTCAATCTCATCTCCTCTGTAAATAATTGTTACGAAGCCATTGCTGTTACTACCATTAATAAGTTTTATGATTGTCACATTTTCATATTCAGAGGACTGAAGCTGTGCATCATTACCATATAAGTTAAGCATGCATTCAGTGAAAGAAACTTCATAGTTCACTACAGTTGGACATTGAATATTTAGCAGGACTTTGACTGCTGCCTTGTCAGGTAACAGTTGCTGCTTTAATTTCCGAGCACAAGGCATGTAGTAGTACTCATCATGGTCAGTTGGTATAGTAGCTGCTATACCAACTTGCACGAAAACTGTCATAAACGACTTTCCTTCTGCCGCCCCAAACAGTTTTGTGGCTGTTTCACTTGTGATGATTCCATCTTTTTTATAGCTAGAACCTTGCTCATCTGGACTACTGATGATATCAAATGCCTTATTAACCTTAGATAAGAATTCATCTGGCTTGATGATAACTATTTTTTTGCTGCTTTGACATTTGAGACTGATATCAAAGATGCTCCCAAATGATGTGAAAAATCCACAAAAATCTTCAAAATCCTCCTCAATCCCACACTCTTTTGCAATCTCATGTAGTTCTTCTTTATTCATGAAAATATTCTCCCTGTGTTCTAGAGCACCACGTAGGAAGAGCCATGATATAGGAACATCAGCTTCATCAGTCTGAGAAAGACTACGTTTTACATACGACTGCAAACTGTCCCTTTTATTGCCACTTTGTATGTCAATAACACTTTCCTCCATCAAATCAGATACTTTTAGTTGTCTGGCAATGTGGCTTAGGTCTTCTTCTAAATTGGAAATTATCACATCTTTAGCTGCTTGAAGAAAAAGATTTGGATCCTCTTCAACAGGTGATGTGTTTTTCTCTGAAATACTTTCTTCAACTTGTTGGGTGCCAGTAGTATACAGTGGGGATAATGTACACTTGGGGGGCGCTTGTACTATTGGGTCGACTGTACTGTCAGTGTTATTTGAAAAAGGAGGGATAATGGTCTCATTCTGCTGGTTGCTGGTAGGACTCTCTGTTTTTTGAGGGGAATCAGATCTTTTTTTATCGCTACGTTCATGACTGCCACATGAAAAGAACAACTTGCATGGCTTCCTCCTCTTTCCAATGGGACCAACTGAATTGTTACAGATCATAGTAGAGCGGAGAAGGTAATCTAATTCAAGATTCCATGGTCTTATTGGGTTATCTTTAGCTGCTGGTGATTCCAATGGTTGTGCTGCTTCTGATGATTCTGTTGTATCTACGACTGCGAGCTGCTTTAACATGCCTGGGCCAGCAAAAAGCCAAAGACGACTGTTGGTTAAAAACCCACTGAAATATCTCAAAAAGTGAAAAGCGTTAGAATGAACAGATAAATCCCAAATTTTGATTAAAGAGACCCCCTTTGTTAAGTGCTTCATTACCTTTTCTTTGCTTGACTTATTTTCCTTTAAATGTGTCCTTAGGCAGTTCATATGCTTTTTAAGCAATTCATGTTCATAAACTCTAGATTTAAGCAGATCATCAATGAGACTGTCGGCAAACAACGAATAAGATTGAAAACCATAATTATAAAGCTTCAAGCCTGTGTCTACATCAGCCAAGTAGTATTTCTTTGATGCTAGAATGTGGTAAGGAGAAAAACCATCTGCAATAGGTGTTTCTAGCATCTGTTGCATGGCTTCTTTTCGACCCCCTGCACCATCCATGTCTCCCAAACAGAGTAAAACTGGCTGTAATTTCACTTTTTCTTGTTTCATGAAATCAGGAAATGTATTTTGAAGGCTACCCATCTCAGTCCTTGATATATTGTTTTCTATGTGATGAAATAATTTAGATATGATATTATAGATATACATAAGTAGCAACATTATAATAATATTTGTTTCTGTAAAATAGTATATTTACTAAATAATATAACACCCCCCTCCAAAATAGGACCTATCAATTACCATGTGGTGAGTTTTTAAAGGGACACCATTGGCACATTGACCTTGCCAAAACAAAAGAAACAAAGCTGTTTGTTTATGTGACTAAATTTTGAAATATTGTTCTTGCTTTTGGTGCCTTGCACTATTTTTAAAACAACAGAAATTAACTTTTTCTAGCCCATAGAATATTTCTGTGAGCCTTTCTAATTTCTAAACCACAAAACCTCAAAGTGATAGTTGCAATTTAATTAGCAACATACTGTACAAGATGAGTTATTGATGGGAGAAATATTTGGCAAATTTGCCTTTGGAAAGAAATTGGCGGATTTTATATTGGCAATTTTGTGCCATGTTCCATTGAGCATGCTCAGATTGAAACAAAATGGCGGATTTTATATTGGCGATTTCTTCATAAAACTGCTAATCACCAATATTAATTCCCATCCAATAAATCATCTTGTACAGTACATAGTCCTTGCCTACGCTACTCATGGTGGGGCCAATAATTTTTCCAAATGACCTATATTCAGGATTATTCAGCCATCTTACACCGTATTAAATTGATTTTAGTGCAATTTTATTCTGCAAAGCTTCAACAACTTGTGAAGCCCACTATTCTTGAAAAAAAACAGTTACACAACATGAAGAGGGGGAGGGTTGAAGGAGGCAAGGGGCAGGATTGGGGCATAAGGTTAGTTGAGGTAGTACTAAGTTTTTTCATGAACTATATAGTATAATAGTACCTTGTGGTCCTATGGTAAAAGTGCTGTTGTCTCCTAGGACCCTCAAATTAAGTGGCTTGTCTTCAGATAGTACCCCTTCACTAGGGGCTGAGTGTTGCTGCTCCTCTTGTGATTCATTGTAGTCAAAACCTGCTTCCTAGATAATGAGAAAAACCTTGAAACATCCTACCTAGAAGCTTACTTGACTAGGAAATTGACCAGCTGTAGCCATGTATCTTGAGATAGTATCTTCTTTTTAGCTCGTTTTTAGTGTCAAGTACTGTTTTAGTCTGTTTACATAGACCAAGGTGGAGTCAACTAGCATAACTATAATAAAGATAATTCTAGATAACTATGAAATGAGCATGAGAAACATTAGTCAGTAGATCATAAAGTAAATCTACATAACAATACATGCACTTTTTATTTCACAAAATTCAAATTTAACCATTCACAATATTTCATATTTTACAACATCAACCAAATTGACCAATCATTAATCTAGGAGTCAATTTACAATGTACAAGCTAAAACAGCTTTCAATTAAATAACAAAAAGAAATACAAAAGTCCTGATACTATGAACCATTGCTGATTATTGCTTTTATCACTAAGTTTAGTTCATTTAATCATTTTTATTAGCATTGAATTATAAAAATATAATAGGCACTAGGCACTACGAAAAAATGCAAGCAAAAGATGAATATAAATTAATTTAAACAATTTTGAATGTAATACTAGAAGCATTTGGCAGAAAAATGCTAAATACCACTACCCTAAAATAATATACAGTCAAACCTGTCTATTCAGGACACTTATTTCAGAGGTTCATTTATATTGTATTGGGACTGATACTACCTGTCCTGATTATAAAGGTGTCCTTATTTAGGCTGTCCACAATAGCAGGTTTGACCGTTACATGTACATGTACATATGTACATACATGTACATACGTACCTGCCCATGTCTCTTCCCTTTGCTGATGGTCTTGCAGAATAATAATAATCTTTGTAATTGTCCATCCACACTTCAGCAGCACATTTTGTATTTCTATTAATAAAGGAATAGAAAGAGTCATATTAATATTAATACATTACACATTAAAATTCCTACTAACTCACATAAATCATTGCATTGCATCCTGGAAACATGAATGATTTTTCCTAAATACATGTCTAACTTTATGATCTCTCATTGTATGCACCAGGATGAAGCTTAGCAGTGCACAATCCCTATATTTTATGCTAATTAATTGTTGCATTAAAAATTTTAATGTCTTTTGCTGATTTTTCCACTGATTGTAGTCTGGTGTCACTTCAGATGCAGTGTTAACGTTATTTTCTAATTAAAGCAATATGTGACTCTTTGAGCAACATGATTCTCAACAAAGATGAGTTTTTAAAACAGAAAATGAAATGACAGCACCTAAATGCACAATTTGTGTACATTACATAGATCTACTTCATTTATAACAAATTTTAATGGGAAGCATTTTTATCACAATGATAAAGTATAAAATCAGTTCCAGAGCCTGAATTAACAGTTAAACATTGGACATTTTTGAATCATTTTCCTTAATTGTCTGACCAAATTTTGTCTTGCTTAACCATTTTGTCTAAACTTAAAATAATGACATAAACTATAACTATTATTAAAAGTAATTTACATAATAATGAATTAACTAGTGAGCTAAACAGCATGCTTCATAGCTACAATAATGGCATTTGAAGTACAACTTTACATGGCATTACATGTCATTTGGAACAACTTTAAAAATTATACATAAAAAATCTGATCAGAATCTGTACACATCATTAAGACATATATCTATAGGTATCAGAAAAAATTATATAACGAGGAATTTTCTCCTAGCCATATTTGACGAAATTTAGCCAAAATCCCTGTACTATAATATAAGGTGTTTATCCTGATTTTTGATATTACACTGTTACTGTTATAATATTGTATTGTAATACAATACTATAGGCAGAGAAACTTTAATGAAATTTCACAGCTTTTACAGCTAGCATAAACTGTAGTAATGCACATTATTTTGTAGATGACACAACCAGGTCATGTGTGCAAAAAAGGAAATATACAAAATAAAGAAGTAGCAATTCAGCATTAGTTAAAATAACAATCACTATTATAATTAATTACTGTAGTCCAGTTACAAGTAGTTGGCTCAGTTCCTCTGCAATGTCCCTTCTTTCTATCTTTCTTAATGCTGATATCAAAGCGTCACACGTTGCAGTCTTTGTCCCTATCCAATGGTAAATCATATCCTTACGACAAACTTGTACTTGGTCCCGACAGTTATACTTAATTTCGTTCAACTTGAATCTTTCTATTCCTAGATAGACTCCTAAAAACTCCCATTCAAAAACTATCTCTTTGATAGCTTCCAGAATTGTGGGGACATGGCTCTCATCTGCATAATAATAGGAATACAGTAGCTTAATTGCATTGTAATAGAGAAAATTTACATGTATGCCCCAGTATTTACAATACAGCTACTTTTAGCCAGAAATTATGAAATGACAATATATGATCTCTCTAGTATATTGGCTACAATGCATATACACAAAAAATACTTACCTAATATTTTATCAGCTGGTAATGGATTAGTCTCAACATGTGCAACCAAATCAGATGGTCCTAGACAATAAGAGATATGTCAGTGTTAGTATAAATAATTATGTATACTTACTAATCAACCAACAGCTTTGCCTGTCATTAGTCAGAGCAATAGTTTGAAGACTTGTCTCAATGCTGCAACCAATTGCCGGTGGACTCACCTTGTAGGAGATAGTAATAGGATGAGGAACCTTATCATTAGTATCTATAATATGTTTACGATTACAATGAACAAGAGCAGATATTTTTAGTATCTTCTCATCATAGCCTAGTATCACAGAGCTGGTTTTAAGACCCTCCAGAATGACCTTACGAAGGATATAGCAATGCTGAGAAGGGCCAGTGAAATAAACATCAATTGATTTATATTCTTCATACAGGAATACTGATCCAAAGAGATCCTCTGAGTAGAGCTTCACAGCATGTCGAAGCTGCTTGGGAAAATCAGGAGATCGACTATCGATGAAGAAGCAAGGCTCTTCTTGTCTACTTAATAAAGACACTATTAATGCTGGGAATAAACCCTAAAATAAGGGAGAGTTAACAGTATACATAAGCATTGTTTGTGACTTACTTGTAGGACCAGTTTACTATTGAATGTTATGACAAGTGGAACAGCTGTAGTAGTGATTCTCTTCTGACTATGGGAAACAGGTAAAAGTATGGGAATAAAGAATTGAGGTGACCGGACATTAGCTGCTCTGATTGGTGAGATGACTCGCAAGAGTTGCAGCAACAACAGAAGATCCATTTTTGTAAAAAGGTTAGGAATGAAAGTTAACCCAAGATTATTGAGCAATGATTCATCGAAAATCCCATCCCTCTTAAGAGACTGTATAGCACCTTTAGACAAACTGACTCCTTTTGGCAATATCTCCTGTAGATCATCAACAAATGACACACGAATAATATTGGAAAGAAAGTCTATTAGAAACTGAGGATTAGTGAATATCACATTAGGAAGTGTGTTAGGATAATAAATGCATATTCTCAATGAGTCCAAGTAGATCAGACAATAATCAACTTCAATTTTTCCCATGCCAAATTTGTCTCCAATAGCATAGCAAGACTGAAGCGAAATCACTCCATGACCCTCCTTTGATGCTTCTTTTTTAATATTCAAATCAAACACATACCAGCGTATTGGTAGTTTAACATTCAGGCTTATATCAGAACGAGAAGATAATAGGCGTTCGCGAATCTCAGCTGATATTTTTTCACGGTTCCATCTGCAGAGGTTGTCAACGGGAAAAATGAGCTCATTAGAATCGCGATTATAAAACACAAAGAGATGAAGAAACTCTCTCAGACATTCTTGAAGTATGAGATTTTTTTCCTGAAGTGTTTGTTCCATATTCAAAAACCTTCTAAACTTTGATTGGTCACAATGAGTGGCAACAATTACAAAGGCTGGGGCCACATCATCTCCAAACTGATCTCTTGAAGCTGCAGAAACGGAACAAACAAAATTCTTAACAATCTGAAGGTTTGTCATTGTCATTTGTTTGGGTGCATTGAGTGGCTTTCCATTTATGGAATAAACAAATGTGGGTTTATCGTCAAGTGATTCCGTCACCTTCATTACAATGACATACAGTGAATTACCTCGTACAAACATACGAAGTAGGTCAGTGAATTGAGGTTGACCTCCGCTATCTAAAAGATGAATCCACTTTGCTTCACGTAACTGCTCCGGCACTTTTCTTTCGTCAGGAGATGCCAACTGCCTAAGAATTTTCTCTGAAACATGATCAATATCTCTAGTTGGCTGATGAGAAGTGGGGTCAGTAGATACACTACTAGTTGATGGCAATGAAGGTGATAAAGCAGGCCTGGCTGGGGTGCTCCTTTGAAATAATGGTTCATCGTTAGGAATTACAGGATCCCTTCGATAAACCTGTGATAAAGCATTTGCTTGTCCTGGTAGTAGCCTAGCAGCATCAGCATGAGAAAACTGAGGAAACATCATGGTCTGTGTTTCAATAGTATCAGATAACATGCTTAGTAACTCATCTTCAGTGACTTCATGCCACACTTTCATTCTGGCAGCTATTCTCTCAATGGCTCGTATTGGCCGGGCAGCAATTGGTGTGCTATGGTGTTTCAAAGGAGGTGGGTTGTTAAGCAATAGAGCCTTGAATGCTGTTTTACCAATGCAAGGAGGACCACATATTACCATCTTAATGTTGTTGAGAAAGATACATCCTTCCTTCATTCCTCTCTCCAGTATCAACTGTGCATTTTTATCTCTTTCGGCTTTCTGCATCAGCAAAAAGTCAGTTCCTCGCTCAAGGTTTCCAAACACTACATGAAAAGACCTTTTGTTAACTTAATAGAAAAACAATCAAAATAAATACCAAAACTATAGCAAGACTGCTCTCATGCGCACAATTAACATAAATGTGATACCTTAAAAATGACAGTGATACATGAGTTTATATTGCATACATATAAAAATACATGATTTTGATAATCAAACAACATACTAAATCTACCATGCAAAAGAGGAAAATAATATTTGAAGATTTGTCAAATAGGCAGTTTTATACCAATTACTAAAATCATTTCCCATCAAACAAAACTCACCTGATTTTATAATTTGTGTTGCGCAACAGTTACCCCAATGATCAACAGCTATATATATATCATGCCCAAATCTGTACACACTTTCCAGTGCTCTGCCTTGTGGCTCATTATTGATTAAGAAATGTAAGTCACCATTTGATGTTATCAGGACACCAACTCTATCCCCCATTGTCAAAGAGTCCAGCGATCGCTTCCCATATGGTATATCAGCCTTAGCTTTAATACGACTGTAGACCTTGTTTCCAAACCACATGCAGTGACCAGACGCATCTTTTGTATTATGAGGTATTAATGCATGATTGAATGGTTTGTTCATCAAACGTCTCATTATGCCTATTCCAATGCCCCCAGTCCATTTTGTGCAGCAAGATAGTATCTCTACCTCAAACTCGATATGCCCAGTGACTGGTACCGCTGAATAAGCTACACCTTTGTAGCAGTTTTTGTCAGGACTTATTTTAGCAGCCTTTGCCCCAGAAAGCCTCATATCATCTGAATGGTACTCCCTGAAAGCATAGTATAATATTAAATGATAATGATTAAATCACAAGTCGAAAGTCTTACTGGTGATAGGTAAATTGAACAAATTTCGGCAACAAGAAGTCCATGTCCATTGTAATGTAGGCTCTGGATTAGTCTCGCCCCGCCACTAGCTCTTACCTCATGGATAGCTGAATTAAGCTTTTTTATACCCCTACCAGCAGTATCCAGACCCCATGCAAGAGGGCTACAGAGGTGTGTTCTGGATTTTTGGTTATTAGAGTAAATGAAAAAATGAGTAAATTATCTATGGTTATGTACATTTTTATACTTCTTAAAATAACAGCTTTTAATTAAAATAATAACAAAAGGAGAAAATCATGATACTATAAACCATTGCTGATTATTACTTTTATCATCACAAGTTTCTAAAGTCAGTTCATTTAATGAGTGTCTGCTGCTGAGACACAGTTTAGTGCTAAGGTGTACAATATGATTGTTCTTAGTGTGCTCCCAGTTTTGAATGTGATCCTTAGAGCAATACTGGAGGTGAACAATCTGTCCTCTTGCTTCTAAGCATAAGTTTAAATGGCGAATAAGACCTTTCATAGCAATACTCCAGTCCTATAATACAATATCATAGCAAGAGTAATATTGAACTCTAGAAATATAAGCATACATTGTACTAAAGCTTTGAATTTAACAATAGCAGAAAAAACTCAAAAGTAGTATATAGCACTCAGCTTCTTGTCAGCGAATTTTAAATCTGATCAAAAACCCTGCACCATAGTACAGAGTATTTCACCAGAAATGGGCAGAAGAAAATTTTTCATTTTAAAATGGTTTGTGGGAACCCTGATGTAAAGGTACATGTACACTCTCAGTTGTCATCACTGTACCTGATATCCTTGTCTACTTTGTTGACAATCTTGTAGTCCAACAGGTTCACCAGCTTGATGTCCAAGTGTATCCAAACAAAGATTATTTTGCTTTAACTTTCCATGTTTGTTATTAGTAGAAGAAGGAACACTAATAATTGGTGATAGGAGTACAGTGTATTACACATTGTTTATAGTGAGAATATACCTTAGCTCTGGATAAACATTCTTCATGTACCAATCAAAAGTGGTGCAATTCAATCGTTTCCTTAATGCCACACGACTCTTAATGCTACAAATACAGTATAATGAAATGTCATACTAATCAGGGTTTCCCATAAAGCATGCTAAGTGAGCTAAACAGCATGAGCTTCATGAGCTGACAAGCACTACAATACAGTACATGGCATTTGAAGTAAGTTAAAAAATTCGTAACAAATCCAATTTCAATGGGAATCAGCACAAAGTTGATACACAGCATAAGGACGTCTATATGTGTCAGGAAAAATTATAAAAATGGAGAATTCTTTCCTTATGATTTTTGTCAAACTACCCTGCACTGGTCTTACAATTCAAATAAAACCCTGATACTACTCACAGTACTATTAATCTATCATACATGTACCTGCCCATGTCTCTTCCCTTTGCTGATGGTCTTGCAGAATAATAATAATCTTTGTAATTGTCCATCCACACTTCAGCAGCACGTTTTGTATTTCTGTTAATAAACGAATACAAAGAGTCATAATTTATATCACATATTAATAATCATTCAAGCTAACTTCATATAAGTCATTGCATTGCCTCCTGGAAATACATATGGATGTCTTTTCCTAAATACATGACCAACTCTAGAACAAGGGATGATCTCTAGTGATCCACCACACATCCACGTTCGAAATGATATTTCTATTAATAAATCATTATAGTGCAATATCTTTAATTTTCATTCTCTCACCAAAGTTTTCTCCTCCCCAGATATCCATCTGATCATCATATTTACCAGTTTCAATAAACCTTTGTCTGTTAATAGAGAACAGCCCACCAGCAATCATTGGAGTCCTGCACATTTAGTGTATGATCAACACTAGAATAAGTACATGAGATTCATGTCTTACTTTATTGGTTCAATTGGGGACTTTCTTTTTGCTCTTTGTGCAGGAGTGAATCCATCCCATTTAAAATGGAGGCTCCAATCAAAACCTACACACATTAAGAGAATTACATGTATGTAACACATGATTAGTATATGCACATGCACATCAGAATCAGATTAATTCCAATAATGGAATTACAGCTTAGTACAATACTTATAATACATACCTCCTCTTAGTTCAGATGAAGCACCTATGTAATCAAATGTATCCATACTGATGACATCAATAATAGGACTAACCACTATCGTCCTATCCTATAATAAAATAATAATAAGAGTTAAAATGTAAAGCATTGTGTATTATCTGATTTATCAGCACTCACTCCCAATTTTTTGCCAAAAATAGCACATGAAGGACAAAAAACATGTGCATGTACATATGGCATTTGGAGCAACTTTAAAAATTAATAAAAAATCAAATTTTGATCGGAATCAGTTCAAATTCTTTAGACAGCATAAGAACATGTATAAGTATCAGAAAAAAACAGAGAATTCTTTCATAGCCTTTTTTGACAAAACTTGGTTCAAGTCCCTGTACTAAGTCCCTGTACAAGATGCTTAGCCCGATTTTTGAGAAACTTTAAAAATTCATAAAAAATCCAAATTTGATCAGAATCAGTTCAAACTTAATAAACAGCACAAGGACATGTATGCACATCAAAAAATATTATAAAAATGAAGAATTCTTTCCTTGTGATTTTAGCCCAATTTTTGAGCAATTTGATAATCCACTGATAAGAAGCTGCATCAGCACTATACCAAAAAATCCTTTGGAAAACCCTGGCACACTAGTATGCCTATAAAGCTGTTCTTCGACTGATTTTTTATGAATGAAATTTCAAATCAACAGACATATCACTGCTGAAAGATAGAACTACAAGGTAGCAGTGCACATTTTGACTTAATGTTGTAGCAAAAGAGCATTACAATCAATAGTCTAAGCCTACAGACCTGAAAAATGCAGTATGCTTCATGTAAAATTATAAGAAAATACATTTTGATAGCCTTTCACCAAATTAAACTGCTCACCGTTTTGAACCATTATGCACGTATTCAAAGCATGGCCATAAATTCACCAAATCACCAAAAGTTTAGCAATTACCAAAATTTACTTATCAGATGTACATGTACTAGGCACACACTCCCAAACCAACCTGACTGACTCTGTGAAGCAAAGGCTCTAACCAGCCAATGTTACACTCACAATGACTATCTAAGAATGTTAATATTTCTCCTTTAGCAGCATCAGCACCAAATATTCTTGATCTAACTAATCCTATTATAATAAATAATAATGATGATAGAAAACTAAAAATAACTAACCTTCTCTTCTTTCATTTCTAATAAGCTTGATCTTTGGCATTTGTGTAAGAAGTAGTCCAGTGTTAACTAATAATAATAATAATAATAATAATAATACTAATGATGTACATGTACATGTAAAAATAAAAACAAACCATCTTCACTAAAATCATCAACAAGGATTATCTCTTCAATCAAATGTGGTGGGCTCCGATTTAAAACACTAAAAATTAGAGCAATAAAGCATTAAATACTGTAAAATGCATTACAATGAAATACAACAATCAGCACAAAAAATTCTTATTACCTAACAATGGTTCTGAGGAGAGTTGATCTTGCTTCATTGTGAAATGTAATAATGACAGATGTACTAGGAAGTGTAGGATGATATACTTGATTATAACACCTAAAACACCAACATAGTATTAATATGACAGAGTAACATTATACAGCCAATAGATATAAGTGTTAAGATAACATAAAAAGGACAATGTAGTTTATTTGTACAGAAGCTGAAAATTATAGATCAGGTGATTATCAACAATGATAAACAAGGAATGAATAATGTCTAAATACTTAATCATTACAATTATTAAAAGGACACTACACCCTCCACACAGTACTGTAAATGTATTTACTATTCATACCAAGAATGACGTGTGTCTGGAACTTTTCTATCAATGGATGTCTTATCACTAGCTTCTTGATTGAAAGCATTCTTCTTGTAAGCATCATTACTGTCCTTAGGACTGCTCAGTATATATGCAGTTACATTAAAACCAGCAATGTTGGGCTTCCCTGGAATAAGATCATCTGATGATAACTTGTCCTGATGATTGTACTAGCAAAAAAATTAGAAAGTAAAATTAATAGTACATCTAGCTACATGTATCAAATACATGTATGTATTGAATGTTGCCACAAAAATGTCAAGTAAACAAAACACTATCCTCTTTCTACAATAGATCAATGCTTATAAAATGACAACAAAAAGGAAGCGATATTTTCTAATTTCTATACACTTCTGCAATTGGTAGCCAGGGTATGTGCATTGTATTGTTGGAAGTTTGGTGGCGTTTAATACTGGCAGTTTTATACACTGGTGGCTTTCATATTGACAACTTTGCAGTCACGTCACTGATGATTGGTCAAGCTTGGAATATGCCAAACTGTCAATTACTAAAATAAAACTCGACAAATTTATCCTGCTATGCTAAAAAACAACACCTCTTGCTGGGATCACAATCACATTAAGATTAGAAGGCTCTTACAGTCCAAATTAATTAGTGGTTTCACACTAAAACAAGGACACATTAGAGTTGTAATAATGATTGGTAGGTTTGCCAAAATATCATAATTATTAGTAGTTCTACACTGCAATCAAATGTTATTGAGAATGTGCAGAATGAAACAAAATGATGAATTTCATAAGCAGAAAAAGCAATTTGTCACAATGTTTCCAGCTATAAAAATGCCGAAACAGCAATCTCCCAATGTAATTTTATTTTTGTTAGGACTCCCCAAGTTATTGTTTTTGTTCTGGTTTCTTTCCGTTTCTACTTTTACCACTACCCATTTAAAAACATTTCTTAACATCATTTAACACAAATTCTCTTGCATTAAAAATTCGTAGTTTATTATTAAGTGGTAGAAATCACTCAAGATAATAAAAAATATACAAAAGATGATTGTTGGATCATTACGATTCATATCATAAAGTCATTTAGGCACACATTAAAATCTTGAAATAATTAAATTAAAAAAAACTCACCACTTTCTCTTCTCCAGGCCAAAAGGAATACATAATCAGCATAAAACACAAAGCTAGCCACACTATACAGGACAAAACACAAGTTCGAAGTTTGAGTCTCATCCTCATTTATTTTTAATCTAGACAAGTTCACAAAGGGTTAAAAAGCTTGGATAAATGAACGTGGGCGTTCATTCACTTTTGGAGGACTCATTGTGGAAGCTTCCATTGTTTACACTCCAGTCTATTGTGCGGCGCAAAATGGAAGGAATTAGATTGACTATTGCTATTCTTTGGCTCTTATCTGACAGTTCAGCCACTCCAGTAGGTGTAGGTAAGCTAGTTCAGTAAGAACACAATATGCATCAATACTATTATTACTATAGTACAAATGCCAAGATCTTAATAATAATGATAATTATTTGTTTAGAGGAGAATTGGGGTGATGGGTTGAAAGTTATGACAACATACATGCCCAAAGAGTGCGAGTTCAGAGCTCAAAATGACGATGTCATTCATTACCATTATGTTGGGAGGCTTGGCCATAATGGCGCAGTGTTTGGTAAAAGGTAAGAAGAAAGCATTGTGTTGCTGGTTTATTTTGTAGCTTCAAATTTTTGTTGCTTAAATTTTCATTGAAATTAATTTTTGTGGTTTATTAAATTTTGTTAATAATGTTAATAAAATTAATTAATTTTTAGTGGATTTGAGCCTGTATGAAAATTAATTAAACAAAAAATAAACCAGCTATTATCAAGAGTAGATAATAATAGAAGAGAGTGTCCTACTGTGCATATAC